TACAAAATTTTCTTGAACCCCTAACACAAAAATTAACTCAAGAACAGAAAGACAAATTGGAAGCTCCAATTGCAAATGACGAAATTTGGACAACTCTTTTGCAAATGGATGAGGACAAAACCCCTGGGGTAGATGACCCCCCGAAAGAATTATGGGAGACAATGTGGACAACCTTTGTAGATGACCTCATGGAATACTATAATCAAGTTCAGGAATCAGGATGTATGGGGGAAATTGTTGGTCAAGAAATTCTAACACTTTTATACAAAAAAGGTGATAAGACCAACATAAGGAATTATAGGTCAATCACTCTATTGACAGTGGTCTAAAAAATACTAACAAAGGCGATCGCTAATCGTTTTATTCCTGTAATGTCTGATATTATCCATCCCTCTCAAACAGGGTTCATTCATGGGAGAAATATACAGGATGGTGTGTTGTTAATCAATGAAATGGTTAAGTTATCTAGGCAAAACTAGCACAATGCGGCGTTCATATTTATAGACTTTGAAAAAACCTATAATCATGTGGACTGACGCTTCCTGGATGCATGTTTAACTAAGTTGGACTTCGGTTCCAGAGTAAGGAGATGGATTCAAATTCTTCACTCAAATGCCGCTACTCGGGTCCAGGTCAATGATTTACTTTCCCATGAGATTCCTCTTCAGAGATCAGTAAGGCAAGGGGACCATTTAACTCCTTTTCTTTTTGTTATTATTATGAAAGCATTAGGAGCAAATATCAGGGAGAACAATAATCTTCAAAGACTGAGGATTACCAATATCCCTAAGGAGGCAATCTCAATCTACTCTATGTTTGACGATGACTTAATAATCATGATGGAGACATCCTCATCCAACTTCGAAGAAATCAAAGCAATAATGGATAAATTTTCTGCTTTATCTGATATGCTAGTCAATTGGGGGAGCAAAACACAGGGTTGGTGGATTCACTCACAAGGGATTAGACCTCCGAAATTTTCTAGAATTAAATGGGTTCCTTTTGAAACACCTATTAGGGTTTTAGGAATTATTCTCACAGCTCAAGGGAAACCAAGTTCAAATGATTTATGGATTTCTTCCCCGACGCTAGAAAAAATGAAACTATGGAAGAATAAACATACATCAGTTTTTGGTAGAGCTCTCATAATTAATAATGTGGAGTTGGCATCGATTTGGTACAAATCCTTCCTGTGGTCACTAAATAAGAAGTCTACAAAGGAATTGTTAAGACAACTTACAACTTTTCTCTGGAGAGGAGACCATGAAACACCACATGTAATCCCAAGAGTAGCATGAAGGACTTTAATCCAGCCAAAAACTAAAGGAGGTTTGAGACTTATAGATCCAAAAATTCAATGTCAGGCTTTAGCACTCCAAATAGTGAAACGTTTAATTCTAACTACAGACCTCCCATGGCGAGACCTGACACTGGAGCAAATTCGTAGATTGGCCCCCCAAACTACTGAGGAGGTGCACCCCCTGACATGGGTGGAGGATAGGTTTTGGACTATTCCTTGCTCCCAAACGCATTACAGTGGGTCAGGGGTAAGAGTGGAGGCCAGGAGAGATCTAGGATCGGACAACTTTTGGTCTAGTCTTTTGAAAACCTGGCGGGAGTTGCCTTTACCAAACAAGGCAGTACCAGCAAGGTTTGAGAAAATCTTACGCCAACCTCTGTTTGGTAACCGGTGGCTTACGGATCGAAATGGTAAAATTTTCATAAACTCGGATTCCCCTTGGTCTACATGGGTCAAACATGGAATAATAAGAATTAAAGATCTGTGGGACCCGGTAAATAAGAGTTGAAAAACAACATAGAAACTCAAAAAAGAAATAAAGTATGCACACAATTTAATTAATAATTTTGAAGAAATTATTTCATCTATTCCTCTGGCGTGGATAGTGGTGCAGAAAAGAGGTCCGATTTTTCGAATATCGGACTGGGTTTGTATAAATCTACAAGATGGCTCTGTGAAAGTAAGTAGACAATGGATCAGTGAGCAATTGTAATCGCCATCATCTTTGTCTTAGGGGCGATTACGTATGGCACTTACTTTTTCTTTTCTTTTATTTTATTCGAGCCTGAATCGGACTAAGATAGAGTCCTTTTAAATCTGTCAAAGGTTTAAAGACGTGAGTTGGGTTGTCTAGGCTCAAATAAAATTTCACTAGAAAAAAAGGTTTCTGTTTTTCGTTTTGGGACATGGGAGCCTCTATTATAGCAAGTTTGACCAGCACTTTTTCATGATCCGGGGACCAATTCTTCGAGTAAGTGCTTCGAATTCTTCTAGGCAAGTCTTTGGGGTTACTATATAGAATTCCAACCTGACGGTTGCCTGGGAGTGTCTTTTCCACTCACTGATTTTTCCCAATCTTCTACACACGTGCTACAATGGCAATGACAATAGGAAGCAAGGCTTTAAGGCGGAGCGAATCCTGAAACATTGCCTCAGTTCGGATTGTTCTCGAGTATAGATTTTTTTGGAGATACCAAATTTTGGTCCTCTTCTGGTTCAGTGGGATTTAAAGGATCTCGTCGTTCAACCAATTATGCTGCTCAAGCTACTGCTGAGAATGTAGCGCRTGCTGCTATTCCATTAGGAATTAAGTCAGTTGAAGTGAGAATCAAAGGTTTAGGTTATGGAAAGCCTTCAGCCTTACGTGGTTTACAATTAGGAGGTCTTATTATAACCAAGATTAGCGATGTAACCAAGTCAGTGGGACAAATTCTAGTTGTCTATGAGGAGGGAGCGCTAGTGAATATTTTAAAAATCCATAAAGACAATAGAATTTATAACAAGGATCAAGACAAGGTTATTTTCTCATACTTTAATGAAATGTAGAAGGTGAGGGCGCTATATTGCGCAACAACAAAGGGATGGACAATGTTCCTTCCTAATATTCCCATTCTAGATCTCCCCTTAGATCCATCGGATTGGGTATGACGTATAAATAGGAGGAGTAAACCCCTAAGATTATGGTCCTTGTCAGTAAAGGCATCTTACAGGATATTGCGCCCTAAAGTAGAGGTCTCATAAATCATACAAGACCAATGGCATAGACACCTAAACATCTATGAAGACCTGTTAAAACATGTGAAGTGGTTCCAATGACTCAAGGAGAGGCCTGCTAAATTTGCATCTTTACAATGGCAAATAATGCACAGGTGTTTACCCACAAATGACTGGTTAATAGAACACTCTACACTAGAACAAAAAGGCATAGCTTTGCCATGGTGCAACGCTTGTGTACATGCCTTTCCTAGTAGGAAGATCAGAGAAACAATTGAACATGTCTTTCTACAATGCCCGAGTTTAGTATTGCTTTGGCGTCGTTGGGATTACGTATGGAGAAGGCTAACAGGCCTGGAGTGATCATGGGACTGGAGGGCTATCCTCCTTGGGCATTGGAATCCAGTATTAATAGAATTATCTGTTTTTCAACAAAACTTTTTATGTTTGGGAAGAAAAGCGGTCTTGTGGGCTTTGTGGCAAAATAGATGTGTTAATACAATGGAGGGGATTAAAATCGAAAAACAAGAGATAACAGAAATAATCCAACATTTTGTCCAAACTGAAATTAGAAATCAATGGGAAACGATGAAAATAAAGCTTATAGAATTCAAATAGAAAAAGGATATCAAACAAAGAATTTTACAATTCAATCTGGACTGGCTGGGGGATGCATCAGGAGAGAAACTGGGAGAGGTGGTGTGGCCAGGTGGGGAAGGGGATCATGTGTCCTTTAAGCGAGATTACCAGATCACCTTTCAAAGATGGTTTGACATACAACCAGGAGCTTCTTTGAGATCACCTGAGTATTTTTCTGAACTGTTCCCTCCCTCTACACTTGCTTTGGTGGATCTTGAGTGGTTTGGGGGGGGAGAGGAAGGGCAGATGATAAGTGGGGGATCTATGGAGATGGATGCTAGATAAATCACTCTTATTTGGCGGTCAGATTTTATGGCTGAAGAGGCATCTATATCCTCAAGACTAGAGTAGCACCTTTACAAGCACTATATCCTCAAGACTAGAGTAGCACCTTTACAAGCATAAAGGTAGCAGCATAGCGGGTTTAAGATATAAGTAGAGGTATCTCATAGTTTTCACATAGTTTTCACAGGTTTCATAGGGATTGAGATGCTGAGCCAGGTTCTCAGCATGTTCTGTTTCTCACAGTTTTCACAATTTTTATAGGAGATGGGACGCTGAGCCCGGTTCTCAGCAGGTTCTGTTTTGGTCCTCAGCGAATTATGTTCTGTTACTCCGGGTAGACTGTGAGGACCCCGGCCTCAATCCTTATATTGGAAATATCAGCCTTGGGCACAGGGCCCGGTTTTTGGTTAAAAAATAAATAAATAAATAAAAAATAAAAATAAATTGGATCTTGGAATTAATTGGTTGAGTTGGAAAAATTAATTGGTTGAGTTCGAAAAAAAAAAGAAAAGAAAAGAAACTAGCTCGATTATTGCCGAAGATGAACCTAACTCGATTATTGTTTCCATGCGTGAAATTCTCGGTGGCGGGAACCTTGTCCTGTGGCGGACAGCAGTGCTGTGGGGAGGAAACTGTGTACGTTGACTATTCGGCGGAACATTTAACTGGTTGGCGGGTAAACTAGCCTTTCGTTTTTTGAAAACATTGGGCCTCGGGCTACTACACAAGAATCTAAATCCACTGGGACGCTTTCAGGACTACTGCAGGCGCAGTCGAACAAGGTCCAGCAAGCTTCAGAAGTCGGTAGGTCAGGAGAATGTACGATTGATTTGAGAGAAGAAACTCAGAATCGAACACAGGTCTGTATTTCAACATTCCATGGGTGTACCTGTGCCAACTGAGCTAGGTCAGCCGGTGAGAGATGAGATACTTGTCGCACACTTGTGTTGATGCTGTTCGTATTCGATGGTCGTGTGACGTTGTCGGTTCTCTCGGCGCGACGGATTCTTCAAGACCCCGGCTTGCCTGTCGCGTCTCGTCGGTAACACAGGTAGGTTGCAATCCCGATGATATAGGCAAGGAGGTGTGAGGGGAAGGTGATATCTGAGCGGTCTGCTTGATCTTGCGGGGTTGTGGATTGTGGGAGGAAGGCGTAACTTGAACTTCGTCTGACGGACACGTGGCAGCGGGGAAGATCTTTCAAAGAGCACGAAGAAGAGATAGCTATGGCGGACCCAGCTTCCGCGGCAGAAGCGGGAGGCGATGACGCCGAGAAGACGATCTCCTCACGCAACAAAGTTGAGGGATTTCTGAACGGACTTCCTGAGAATGTCAGAGCTCGGGTCGAGCAGCTGCGTTCCCTCCAGTCCAGAATAGATGAAGCTATGAAAGAATGGGACAAACAGGAGGCGGCTATGGCGGCGGCTATGGCGGCTATGGAGTCAACTGCTGCCGGAGGTGCAACGGTCTTGACAACGACTGCTGTTGTTGCTGACCCATCGTCACAAGGGGAATCCATAGCAAAGGAACCTAAGAAGGAATCTCCGAACGAAATCTGTCCCGATTCCGTCGTAGATTTCGAAAAGGTTATTGAGGATTTGTACAGAGAGAGGTTGGAGCTGATTACGGCCGGGGGGGGTGTGGAGGGAGACGAGGGATCGAGTCCTGGACCCAAAGAAGACGCTTTTCCTCCCTTCTGGTCAACAGCTATGTCCAAGTGCGCTCTGGGCCAGTTTATCTCTCTTGCGGACGGCGAAGTGCTGAAGAATCTTCGCGATATCCGATGCAAGGTGATTGATGACGTGGACATCGATCGGGATGACGAATCGGATGGCGGGAAAGACGCCCTGACGTCGTCATCAAAAAATCACGGTAAGGATGAACGCGGCGGGCGGCGCCGCCCCCGCCGCCCCCATTCTTTCACTCTCGAATTTGTCTTCCATCCCAACGAGTACTTCACAAACGAGGTCCTCAGCAAAACGTTTTACGTCAATGGCGCTGAGGACGATCCGAAGGTGTGGAAAGTCGATGGTACCAAGATCGATTGGAAAGAAGGTCGTAATCTGTGTGTATCTAAGCGGTCAAGAAGTCGGATTAGGGCTTTATGGAAATCCGTGTGGAACGATGGGGAAGAGGAGAAGCCAAACTGTGTGGCTGAACCTGGACCGAAGGGTGGACCAGGTGCCGAACCAGAGTCGACGGCTGCACCAGGTTCTGAACCTGGATCGACAGCTGGACCAGAGGCGGTATCTGGTGCCGAAGCTTCTTTTGAAAACAGTGACAGCTTTAAGTCGTTCTGGACGGCTTCGTTCGGCGATTGTGGCGCTGTAGATGAAGATGATTGGAAGAGTTTCTTCGATTTCTTTGGCCCAATTTTTGTGGATTTCCCGCCCCGCCCTGTTCTCTACCCACCTACTCTTCCTCCTATCATTACCACTAATAGTGATGGGACCACCACTACCGTTAGTCGTCCTCCTCATCCAAATTCATTTGTCACTACGATTACTTACACTGGTACAACCGTTACGTTATCGTCCGTTATGGACAATAAGACAAAGAGCGATCACGAAGATACTAACGGTACTAACAAGGATGGTGAAAAGGTTGATAACGCAAGTGCTACCGGTAGTGGTGATGATTGTAAGGTGTTTCAAGTCAGAGGTGTCACTTACGAATTAGATAAGCTGAGGGATCGATTGCTAGACCACTATATAATAGGGTTGGCGATCAAAGACAACTTGATTCCAAGGGCGGTTCACTGGTACACAGGAGAAGCAGTGGAAGATGACGACGAGGACGAGGAGGAAGATGAGGACTTCGATTGAAATTCCGAGGAGAAGGAGATGATGGAAGACAGGAGGACGAAGGACGAATTGATGAATAAGTGGGATTAATGTCACTAGGAGTGGGTATTGGGGAAAAAGAAGGGGTGTGGGGGGGGGCACAGAGAGAGAGAGAGAGAGAGAGAGAGAGAGAGAGAGAGAG